AATAGCGCATATAAAGTAAATTCCGAGACTATGTATATAGCCATATAGCATAATATACCTTGGCCAAGACGTTCGATTTCATGATGGAGTTATATGGGTGACATTAAACACCTAAAAGTCAATATTGGCTCAACAGTATTTAAAAATGGCACAGTTTCTTTATCAAGTACATTTGGCATACATACAGACGGATGACCTAACTTTTATAATTTAGAATGTTGGATAACACTACAGAARAATAAATTCTACTAAATGATACCGGGAAATATAGGTTGTCCTTATTGGGTCTATGTCAACTAAACATAAAACGATGAAAAATCTATGGACTCGTTAACCAATAAAACTCAAATGACCAGATGTATACGCGGAAATCTACGCAGAGCAATTATAACGATGACGGCGAAGTACACAATCTTGATGAATTTCTTAATTATTCTCATAATCCGTCCGGATTGCTTCCACCTCACGTAATACATTTCATAATAATTGGTATTGCTAGTATTTTGTTTCTGCGATATCTAACACCACCAAAGGCAGGCACTATTGATTGCACGTATAGACGATAGACACAACAAAAATGGTACAGCGCGAACGCATGGATTTGCGACATAAATATGTAATTTCAATAATGCTTAGTTTTTGTATTAAATACAATTTTAATGTTTATTTTCAGATTGAAACTCTATGCTCGACCTACAACCCAAATGTGTTTATAGTTATGTATTCGGTAGTCGACGAGAGGAGTTTTGATATAGCAGAACAGATGTTATTGTTTCTATGGAAAGGCGAATACATTCATACAAGAGGTGTAATATTGGTTGGCAACAAATCAGACTTGGAACGAACAAGAAAAATTCAAACAAATGGTTGGGAAATGTATTAATTAATTAATTTGTTAATATTACAAAACAATTTTGTTTTTTAACAGTTGGTCGAAATTTGGCATACAGTTGGAACTGTAARTTTATTGAAACTTCTAGTGGTATCGATCATAATGTGGACAAACTATTAGTAGGCATTTTGGCGCAAATCAAGCTAAACCCGCTCAGAGAAAGGATGTATAACAGCAAAAGGAAAAAATATAGCGTCACAAAACTATATAAGGACTTTTTAGCTTACTTAAGAGGCGTTAAGTCCAGTGAAAATTTGTTCAGTATATAATCATTTTATTAACATGACATATTTTAATATTTTTTGTGGACCAATTTCTTTATCCAATACCCAATTTATATCCATCCCTCAAGTACAAAAATTTAYAAATTTTATATAAAATTGGATATTAMAAAAAAATACATATTATCCATTTTTAGATGAAATAATATTTATAAAATATATTTATTTCACATTGTTTTTATATTAAAAACCTCTCATCAATTAAGGTTTTCTTGGCCAAATTCCTTTTGCCAAATGTTGTTCTGATAACGCTCATTGCCTGTACATGAACACATAATCCGATTAAGTATTAACATTTATATAAGAAAAATTAAATTTATGAAATTAGTACTTAAATATATATATGTATATAATATAATAAAACTATTATAATTTACAACTACCTATATTTATGCAAATTTTTTTTAAACATAATTCCTGTGATTACAAACCTTGTTTAAAAATCCTGTAATAATTCCAGCGAGCACAATATTTTCAGTAAGTACGAAAAAAAATGATAGCATCATCAAGTCAAATATTACTAAAGTACACTCTTTTCCGTAAAAAATCACTTGATCAAACGAATGCCCGTCATCTATAAAATAATTATTACACAATATTATATAATTTATAGTATAAATATTGAAATAACAATTTTATAGTTGGTTCTCGCCTATGAAAAATACTCCTTTRTCCAAAGGGTCTGAGTATTCAATCCCTAATAGCTTCTCGACGAAAGTCTTTTCACGAATTTCATAATCCAAATCTTTCAAAGCCTAAAATAAATTATATTAAGTCAAACTTATTTTTAGTTGATATACTAAAACTGTTAACACAMGTGATCCAAGAAAGCTGCTAAGAATTTATTCATATTATTGTATGCCTGTCCTATTTTTACCATATCAGTTTTATCTACTTGTTTAATCCTAAACGACGAGCCTGAGATCTGTTTGGATTGGATCTAAAAAAAAAGGTTMAAAAAATAAAATCGAATACACTTCATATTTAGGTAGTAAGTGATATTATGTGATAGTATTTACATTATTCAAAGGTGCCATAACTCGTCGATAGTAAGTCTTCAAAGATGAAGGAACAGTCATTTCAAACGTCTGATTCTCCGTACCTGGCATCAAACCTCTGTGTCTTACCATATTGTCTTCTTCTCTTCTCAATTGACCAATCAAACTCTCCATGTCAGTATCCGAAAATCCATGGGCAGATCTATGTACAAATCATGATTAAATAATTTGTTACTGTTTAATCAGCCATTCACAATGATCGYATGATCATCGTATAATATTATAATAGTATAATATTTAACGTTGTGCAACTTATTTACCTGCCRTGTATGTAATAACCAAAAAACTCAGCAGACAAAATGAACACGCTAATATTGGCCAACGAACATATATCGACAAACTGCTGTATACAATTCTTTATGTACCTCTCGTATATTGCTAC